AAAGGTTGAAATACAAAGGCAAGGTGATTGTGGTTTTAAAACAAATAACTAGAAGAGTGAGAGAGATGAGAAGAGAATACCGATTCCTGACTAAAATGTTATTTAAAAAAGAGGTGAATTATAGATGGCTGATTCCAGAAGGACTAATGTTTACATGGCAAGAACAGAGACATAGAATTGATTCAATTGAGAAAGCAGAATTATTCTATGCAGAATTTTTTGGAAGGAGAGAGGAAGAGGAAGAGAAAGAGATCTCACTAATTAAATTCCAAGAGGACCAAATGGGGACTGAAAAAGAAGAAGGCGCAGTAAGTAGGTGGGCAGGTGGAGATCAAAGAACGTGAACCAAGATCTACGAGAGCTGCCAAACCTAATTACAAAGTATAATCATGGAAGAGAAAAAACTGATTACAATGAATATAAATGGACTTAACTCAGCTTTTAAAAGAAGGAAATTTTTTCGTAAATTAGAGAAATTAAAATTTGATATAATTTGTTTACAAGAAGTACACATTAAAAAACAATATGAACAATTGTTAGTACAGCCAAAATTAGGGAAAATATTTACTTCTTTGACTCAATGTAAGAAAAGAGGAGTGGTTTTATACATTAAAGAGGCTATCCCAACAAAATGGATTCATACTGATGAAGATGGAAGATTATTAATGGTGGAAATAATGGACAATAATATGAAAACACTCCTGATTGCAATTTATGCTCCAAATGATAAACAAGAAGAATTTTACAAAAAATTACACATGAAAATAATTGGACTGGACTATGTTAATATAGTCATGATGGGAAATTTCAATGGAATTGTAGACAATAAATTGGACTATACAGCAACAACAACAAAGCAAAATAGAAAGACTCTCCCTAAATCCTTTTTTTAAATGATAGATGAAATAAATTTAAAAGATATATAGAGAGAAAGAATTGCTAAAACTAAACAATATACTTTTTATTCAAATAGACACTTATCATGGTCCAAAATAGATATGATTTGGACCTCAACAGAATTAATATCTAACATTCAAGAAACAAACATTGAAACAAGTACTTGGGCAGACCACAATCCAATGACAATTAAATGGAAAGGACAAAAAAGAAGATCGAGATGGACGCTAAATAATACTATTTTAAAGCAAAAAGATTTTACACAATGGATGGAGAAAAAATTGGCCTTTTTCTTTAGAGAAAATAAAAAAGAAGATACTTCAATTCAGAATGTCTGGGATATAATGAAGGCATATGCTAGAGGCTTGATAATAGACTATATAAGGAAAAGGAATATTAGGAAAAGGCAAGCTACTAAAGTTTTAGAAGATGAGCACAAAAGATTTGAAAAAGAACTACAGAAAACTCCACAGAAAAAAGACATTAAACTAAAATTGGACATAATTAAACATAAATGGGTCAAATAGAGAAAGAAGAATTCGCACAGAAAATTAGAAGTGCTAAACAGAACTACTTTGAAGATGCAAATAAACCAGGTAGATGGTTAGCATACAAATGGAGAAAGAATCAAGGAAAATATCGCAGTTAGTAGATCAAGGCCAAGTTTGCTATGGCAATAAAGAGAAAAAGGAAATTATTCGAGACTTCTATGGGCAACTATATAAGCAAGGGAATATTGATGAGGAAAGAGTCAAACAGTACCTACAGAATGCTAATCTACCTAAGATACCTAAAGAGACTGAAAAAATGTTAGAAAGTAATATAACAATGATGGAATTAACTGAAGCACTTAAGAAGCAAAATAATGGAAAAGCACCAGGTCCAGATGGGCTTCCGGCAGAATTTTATAAAACACTACAAGAATCGTTGAGCCTTCCATTGCTAGAAGTCATGAATGAAGTTATGTTAAAGAAGATGATACCTAAAACATGGTCAGAAGCCTATATTACACTTATTCCAAAAGAAGAGGCTGATCCATTGCAAATTAAGAATTATAGACCTATTTTTTACTAAATGCAGACTATAAAATCTTTGCTTCAATTTTGGCAGAAAGACTTAAAAAATACTTAAATAACTTTATCCATCCAGATCAAAATGGATTTCTGCCAAAGAGACAAATCAAAGACAATATGAGAGTAATCCTGGACACTTTGGAATATTATGAGGCACATCCCGAAAAGCAAATGGCTTTGATATTCTTAGATGTGCAAAAGGCATTTGATAATGTGAATTGGAGATTTATGTTATTATTATTGGAACAGATGGGTTTCGCCAAAAAATTTATTCAAGCAATAGAAGCCATATACTATAAGCAAACGGCAAAGGTAATGATAGAGGGAGAATTCACAGATTCTATTAATATAAGAAAAGGTACAAGACAAGGATGCCCACTATCACCTTTGCTATTTGTATTAACTTTGGAAGTGTTGAATAGAAATATCAGAGATGACAAAAGTATAAAAGGAATGAAAATTAAAAAGGAAGAAACAGCTCCAAAATTATTGAAAAAGATAGAGACATATGGTGTGGTGGCTGGTTTGAAAATAAAGATAAAACAAAGATTTTGACAAAGAATATGCTACTATGACAAAGAGAAGAACTGGCAGACCTATTGAAAATTCAAGTCATGAATAAGGTTAAGTATTTGGGGATACATTTGACACCAAGATGTAGTACGTTAAAAGAGAACAATTACATTAAACTTAAACAACAGATAGCGTTAGATTTGATGAAATGGGAAAATCTACAATTGTCATTAATAGGGAGAATTTCAACAATCAAGATGAATATCCTACCCAGAATCTTATACTTGTTTCAAACAATACCAATTAGGCTTGGAAAAGACTATTTTGAAGATTTAAATAAAATTGCATGGAAGTATATATGGCAAGGTAAGAAAGCGAGAATAAAGTTAAAACTTTTACAAGATGCTAGAATTAGAGGAGGATTTGGTTTGCCTAATTGGGAGTTGTACTATCAAGCTGCAAATTTGATGTGGGCTAAGGAATGGATAACATTAAGAAAGACTAGATTGTTGACAGTAGAAGGACATGATTTGTTGTTGGGTTGGCATGCTTTTTTATGGTATAAGGGAACTAAAACACAGGGCTATTTTAGAAGACATACACGGGAGTCCTTGTGGTTAAATTGGGAGAAGATTAAAAGACAATGTTATTTGAAAATTCCAGTTTGGTTATCGACTATTGAAGCATTTTCCTATCCTATAATATACAAGAAGGAACAAACAGTTAGATATGGGGAAATATTGGATGAAAAGGGTGAACTCAAATCGATGCAAAATTTAGAGGAACAAGGTATAAAGATGAATTGGTTTTCATATGCGCAAATACATTCAAGGTATGATGATTTTAAAACAGAAGGATTCTGTGATAAATCGACTGATTTAGATAAGATTTTGACAGGTACTGATGAAAAGGTGATTAAAAAATTATATGGTTATTTATTGGAAATTAAACTAGAGGAAGAACAAGTTAAAGAAACTATGATTGCTTGGGGGAAGAATTTTGGATATGGAATTGATTTAGAGAAATGGCAAAAATTGTGGTCTCAAAATTATAAAATGACAATGTCAACAGCATATAAAGAAAAATTGTATAAGATGTTTTACAGGTGGCATTTTCCCCCGACAGGAATAGCAAGAATGTTCAAGAATAAATCCGAAAAATGTTGGAAATGTCATCAGATACCTGGCTCATATTACCATATGTGGTGGACTTGTGAGGATGCTAGAAAATATTGGACTAATATTCGCATGTGGTTGGAAAAAATGATAAAGGAACACATAGAGTTGAAACCAGAGATTTTTTTATTGGGAATTTTACCTGATACATATAGTAAAGATTTGAAATACCTGATTGTAAATGTATTAACAGCGGCTAGGATTGTATTTGCTAAAAATTGGAAAAATGAGAAAATACCATTGCAGGAGGAAATCATTAAGAAAATATTGGAATGTGCTGAAATGAGTAGATTGACATTTGAAATTAGAGAACAAGAGGATAAACAATTTTATAAAATTTGGGACCTTTTCTATCAATGGTTAGATAATAAAATACAATAATAGAATACTTAGAACTTTAGAAAATAATGAATATATAAAGATGTATTTCTTTTTTTTGTTATATCTATAAAATGTTTTTAGGATAGATTTGGGAGGATTATATGAATTGTTATAAAATAAACTAAGTAAATTATAGTTATCTTGCAAAGTATGAATGAACAAAATTATAGTCAAATGATTAATAGTGATACTAGGGTATTCAATTTTTGATTGATAATATGAGTTATTATGCAATGTAATAGTAATTGAGACTATGAAATGGATGCACAAAAAAATTTGTAAACCAACCGACACACTGCTTGTACATTTATGAAAGAAAGCTGGATGTTTTTATGTTTTGTTTTTGTTTGTCTTTAAAAACCAATAAAATTGCTTTTTCTTTAAAAAAAGTTGTATCTCATGAAAGAATTATATAGATGTCTTTTCTTAGAGAAAGGGTGCTTATGGCTCCTTGATTGTCTATCTGTTTCTAGCTTGTGTTCCTAGTCCTAGTCAAAGATGAGGGGGGCAAACTATTTTCCAAAGCATCTGAAGGCAGAACAAGGACCAATGGATGGAAACTAATCAAGGAGAGAAAAAGCCTACAGCTAAGGAAAAATGTCCTAATGGCGAGAACAACTAACTAGTGGAACAACTTGCCTTCACAAGTCATGGGTGCTCCATCACCGGAGGCTTTCAAGAAGAGACTGGCAGCCATTTTTCTGAAATGGTATAGGTTCAAGCAGGGGAACCCTCCAAGGTCCCTTCCAACTCTGCTATTTTATTTTAAATAAGTTAAGAAACCACCTTCATTTTGTCCTCAAGTAAGTGGAGAACCTTTTTTGAAAGCAGCACTTGCTAAAAGCTCTGAAGACAGTAATCCAGGATTTGGGCTGCATCACATTATTTACTATATATATTGCTTGCTTCATTTTGTCATCCCAATGCTTTATATATGACTTTAAGTAACAACACTTAGGCAAGGAGTTCCAAAGTTTTATTAGATATCTCCCACAGCTCTACAAAGGTCTGCTGAAAAGAAATGTCAACAGCCTACTTCATAATAAGAGTGTACAGGAAAATGTAACCTGAGATGCCTCTATGCACATTTCCATATTTGCATTATATAGGTGGTTTATCTCAGGATTGTCATAGTAATTCCCTGATACTGGCAGCTACTTCCATCTATAACCCTCAGGTTCTTTAAATGCAGAATCATAGTTAAAAGGAGCCATTTAGGGAAAAATACATTTTTCCTTACATCAGCTGGTGAAAAATTATGTTGTAGCAGAATAAGGCACGTGCTTCACAGAGGACCCTAAAGTAACTGTTCTCTTCCAATGAGAGACAAGATGGGATTCAGTGACAAGAAGTTAGAAGTTACTTGTCCCAAGAGGTTGTTCAGTGGAAGTTCTCAGAGAAGCAAAGACTTGAAGAGTGTGCTTCCTGATTGGGCCTGGGATTTAGCTCCAGAGCCTCAAGACTATTGGAACTAGTCAAATCAAATCAAGCCCTACTTCTGGCGAACAGTAACTCTTCTATTTGCATTAGGCTCCTTCAGACTTCTGCAATCTCCCAAACACAAACCAGCTTCCCTCTCATATCAACAACATTGCCATACCTAGTTGCCTTTCTACTCAGCTTTCATAGCCACAGGTTGCTGGGTTACTTAAAGGGGCAAGGTCCCGTCTATTTTGCAGGCAGCCTGTCCTCCCACAAACTTATTTTATGTTAAATAAAAATACTTTATTATCTATTATTCCTGGTAGGGGCGGAGGTCACCAACGTTCCAACACTGCTTGGGCCCTGTAATCTGATTAACGGGACAAACTGGGGACCATCTAATAAAAAACCTTATCCTTGTGAAGAGAGAGCTCTTTTGCTGCCCCACATAGATTCCTGGTGGCCATAGGGAGCAGCTGCCTAATGAATACAACACTTACTGTAAATATTTGCCCCATGGAACTCTTTCAGTGAGGAGGTGAGGCAAGAAAAAGTGGCCCTCCAAATTTGGGTACTGAGGCTGGAAAAATGGAGGTCTTAGGAAGTTATCTGCAAAAGCTTGGGACAGGAATGTTTCTCTGCTACAGCTGCTGAAGAAATCAATAATTATCAAAAATAAGAAGAATCTTCAGAAAACATAACAGTAAATCATACTAATTCAAACATAAATTACATCAGTATATTTCAGAAAACAGATAATGCCTTACTTTCAAAATTATTAATCTTGAAGAATGTGAATTGGATTTAAGACCCACTGAAACCAATGGAACTAGAAAGTAAGGTAAACATAACATAAATAACATATAAACAGCTTTGAAATTTCTTTGGATCAGAGTAATCTGTGATGTTTTTTATCGCCACAACTGCTGTGTGCTATTCCATCTTAATCAGATACATTTTTTAAAAAAATATTAAATATAAAATACTTAATTACTTCTGTAAATTGATCTATCATTTGAATGGTAATGTCTTTTATTAAAAATAAAAGTATGTCTGATATGATTTAGTTCTTAAATTTAAAGCAACTCAATAATCAAATGTTTTTCACGCTACGTGCATTAAATGAAAATGCAACCTAGATTCTTTATCAATCAGGGATCAAAGAAAACAAAAACTGCTGGCTAAAATATTCAGAATTTCCAGTGTCTTCTGTTTTGGCAAGACAAATGTGGAATATTTGAGCTGCATCCTTCTTCGCAAAGCCTGGTGAGATCTCTCTGTCCTCCAAGGCTGTCAAGCTTTGTCACTTTAAGTAGTCTGGCAGACTGCCAGCAGCGCAGCGGAACCCCAGATTGGAAGCTGAGCTGTCAGGCGTATTTTGGCTTCGGGCTGCACATCGATATCTATAGCAATAGGACTAGGAAGGAGAATGAGCAGATTACCACAAGTGTTCCCGTGGATGAAACATATCATAGCAGCTTTGCCAAGATGGCAATCTAATAGCTGCCAGGAAGACTATTAGTCATTGAAGGGAGTCATTTTCTACCAAGACTTCACTAAACAGGTGTCCAGAATGGTGCTTCCCATCATGACAGAAACAAGTGGCGCCCAAAGATAATTTGATTCTTACCAGTTGATACAGGTTAATTTCTTTTTAACTTCCTCCTCACTTTTTAACACCGCTTTAATTTTATTCCATGACTCCTCGTGCCCTCCCAGCGACCACTTTATTTTCCTTGGAAAAGAAACCACTTTATCATTAGAGAATTGCAGCTGTAGGCAAATAAGAAGACCTTGGTTGCCATAGTGATTTCAGTATCTTGTCACAGTGGAGTGTCACAGTGACTATGCCAGACAGGGAGTATTTGTGGTGATACATTGAGATTGAAAAAAAAAAGAGAGAGAAATGTATTCTGTTTCCATTCTTAAGGCTTCCAATCTCCAAGTTCATCATAATTCTGGGGTTATTGGGCTAAATGAATCATATTGAACCACTGCTTCTCCAAACAAAAGCTTTTTATAGGGACTAGCTGTATATTTTTGGATGTGTTTTGCCAGGAATTTTTCCTGATTGTTTTTTGGGGGTGGGGCAGAGGCAATACAAGAACTACTGTTTGTCGTGTCAAAAAAAAAAGCTGTGACTTGAATGTTGTCCAGGGACATAAAGTTTAGTGGGACCAGACACCTATCAATTTCAATGGGGAAAATTTTATTATTATTTAATTTTTTACATATTAAACTTCATATTTTAACTTTATCTAAAAAGATAATGGCTTGCCAAAAATTTGTAAGAAATGAACCACAACTCACTCACTCTCTCTCTCTCTCTCTCTCTGTGTGTGTGTGTGTGTGTGTGTGTGTAAAACATTAATCTACTACAATGGAGTTATAAATAATGAGCAAATAAGGAGCAAAAATCAGCAAAAATATTATCTTTATATATGTTCTTTCATGTAATATTTATATCTTTCATAATATTTTGATACAGTAAACCTATGCTTAAACCTAATACTTGTCCTAATAAAATAATTTAATAAGTCTTATGTCATATAAACATAAAGAAAATTATATATATATATATATATATATATATATATATATATATATTTGTTTTCTGAGGTATATATATTCTTAAGTTTTCGTGGGTACTTATATGTATGGCATTCGGCTTTGTTCGGGTATTTAAAAGCACAACTACTATGACGTGGGAAAATACCCGAACAAAGCCGAACGCCATATATGTATGTATGTATGTATGTATGTATGTATGTGTGTGTGTAAATATATATATATACAAATATATATAATTTTGCATATCATACATTTAGGTTTCTTTTTCAAGTCTCAAGGGAGAATTTCAAATGCTTGCATATTTGGGATTAGCAAAAATATAGGAAACTTCAGAGAAAAAGGAATATTGTGTTTGTATGATGCCTGTTTCTCTTAAGCAGAACATCTTTAGGCAAATATGAAACATATATTTGCATAGCACAAAATGATTTTCTTAGTATAAATGTTTCCTTAAATAATACTTTCTCACAGTTTGTCTGGTTGAGGTTCTATTTTCACAATAAGCATTTGCTGGCAGGCAAAATAACAAAAATAAGCCAGCATTTAATAACTTTAAATCTAGAAGTGTTACTTTTTTTCTCATCAATTGTTCTTAAAGTGTCATACAAAATAAATTAGAATATGATCAAAATCCAGTTTTAAAAAAAATCTAACACAATTTATGTATTTGTGCTTTTGGGACCCTGTAATCTGATTAACAGGACAAAGTGGACAAACCGGGGACCATCTAATAAAAAACCTTATCCTTCTGAAGAGAGAGCTCTTTTGCTGCCCCACATAATTCCGGGTGGCCATAGGGAGCAGCTGCCTAATGAATACAAAAGTTGCAGGAACTTAATACAACTAAAAAATAAGGGAAAATATTCACTAGGATTTTCCTTTTTATACTTAAGGAATGTAAATTGTAATGCAAGGTAAGTCTTTATAATCTTTGATTTGTATTTAGTTTTATTATGTTTATTCACTCAAGATGGACGGAGACTTTATTAAATTATTTTTCATAAAGATTACATGCTATTTAACTATGTTCCCAAGTATGGAAAGTAGCAGGAACTTTTAGCAGTCTTAACAAAGAAAACTTATCCTGTATACAATAGACTAAAATGGGCCATATTACTTATCTCTAAAGAAAACTTTTATCCTGTTAATTTAATCAGATCTGCTAATTAACGTGTGACATTAATTTCACCTCCAAATAAGATCAAGTAGAATATTTGATCTCACAATAGAAAATTGAAGTTAGGTTACACAGAATGTTTTTTCAATGGTTATTAAATAAGATTCTTTAAAACACTACAGAAGAAAAAGTACATGATTTTTAATTAGAATAAATTAAACAGAGAATGTTTGCTTTGCACAGGATTTTTCAAAAACCTTGGCATTCATTGCATTGGGAATTAGCCAAATGGGTGCATAGGTACATGGATACCTTCCCATTTTAAAATTTGCTTAGGTCTTATTTTAATCAGTTGCTGACTGTTAAGAGTCAATATTTTTTTTAAATGGATTTATCCACAATTTTCCAGATGTTCTCTTTTTAGGCAACACTTCCATGACTTTCCATAGGCTGATAAATACACAATAAGAAGAACTGTCTTCGGTGCAATTCTTTCCCTTTTGTGTACCATGGGAGGTGTGAATGGCCTTTGAGGGAGATGTGAGGGCTGCAGCCCGAGAAATGAGCAAGACAAAGAAAAATGCAAAGCCAAGACAACTACTGAACTACAATTAATTTGAATTAAAGAAAAGTATCATTTTAACTAAAATCAATTTAATGTAATTAAATACAATTAAAATAAATTAAAATTATTACTTATCATGTTTGTGATTCATTTTCATCTGTATCATTTTAAAAATCACAATTTAGCAGAAACTGCTTGAGGGACAGATGGCAGCTATGATGAGGACACATCCTATGGTCAAGTTGTGCCCATTCCTGGACTGGAGGAAGGATCCTTCAGATGCCTTAGTCATCTTATAACTGGACTATTACAACAGGTACTACCAGACTGCCCATGTAGACCCTCTGGAATCAACAATTGCTGGTTGTCATCTATAAAGCCCATCATGGCAAAGAGCCTAGTTATCTGAGGGACCGCCTGTCTCCCCTGATTCCAGCCTGTCCAATAAGATCAGAGTGAGATGCTCCAAGGTTCATTCAATTAAACAAGTAAACACATTGCCTGGAAATTCATCTGCCTCTCACCCTATTAGAGTCCTGCAAGATTTTAAAACATGGCTTTATTTCTAGATCTGAAATAAGGCTGTTTGTTGAGCCTCTGACAAATTTTATACAGCATGGTTTTTGTTTTGTTTTGCTGATTTGGGGGTTATTTTTATCCAAGCATATATATTCTTGGTTTTGCTTTTGCTTTTTTTCCTCTTTTTAACTTTGTAAATTGCTCAGAGTATAAGTGGCCATCCTTCTAAATCTAACACAACAAGCACGCAAGGAAAGTGTTTGTGGAAGCCTTCTGACTGCCAAATGTGTAGCTCTGGGGCCTCAATTTCTGTGCCCCTGCTCAAAGGGTCTCTCCCCCTCCATTCAATATGGCTAGTGAAACTCTAAAAAATTCTATATGGGTTGCCTGAGATCTTATTATTCTAATTGTTTGTGACTAAACATAATAGGGATGCGAAGAGCCAAATTGATTCTCAGCCACAGAAACTCACTGGAATGACTTTGGAGCGGTCACCATTTTTCTCCCCTGCCAATTCTATGGGGTTATTGTGGGGTTAAATTGGAGGAGAGTAATATTAAATAAGTAATAACAAATAGCAAAATAAAAGCAGAGCTTGGCTTCTTCATTTCCTCTTAGGTTAAATAGATTTTAACATATTGTTAGCTGTGACCCAAAGCCGGGACCACTGAGCTTCTATTCAATTATACTGCTCTTGCAGTATCTCACTGCATCTTTTATATATCACATAATAGTTCTGGAAATCTTCTAAGAATAGCATCCTTGGAGACAAAAACTAGATGAAAAATCAGTCTACAACCTAGAGTTCCCCCATGAAAATTAGCTTGTAGTCCAATGTTTGTTATACCTGTGATGGCCAAAATGGATTTTATTTATTTTTTGCCTCAAAAAGACACTTTGATATTCTTTAAAAATCCACAAGCTGGCAGTTTTAGGAGTTGATTGCTGGAGAAAAAACAAGATTGTCAAGTTCATTGTTGTCTTAAGAAGATGGAACAGCTAAATTGCCATCAAGCTAAAATTAGAAGACAATTGGCATTTTATCTCAGCTCAAATAAACTCCAACTAGAGCTTGCTTATTCATCAAGTGATTTCTATTTGACATACCACTTCCAATAGGCTCCTGTCTTCAAATATTCACAATTTATTTTTTTATTAGCTTTTACTGGATACACAAATAAAGACTGCAGATTGCTATCATAAGACCAATAAATACAGAAGGATATTTATCATTACCTTATGGCACATATAGGATCCACCTTTCTTCACTCGGTCCGACCCTTCTGAAGGTCCTTTCTGGGGACAAAGGGATGCCTATTATTGTTGATCCATACAAGACTAACTGTAAGTATCAATCAAAGGAATTCAGAGAGATTTCTTGGAGGGCCGAGTGGGCCATTGTTCACAAGCATACTACAATTACTGCAGTTTTTACACCAAGAAATAACAATTGCAATGTTTGAGAAAGGATGACTGGAAGATAACTTGGTATAATTGCTCTAGCCTTAATACAACAGCTATTTCAGTTTTAAATAACGGCTCTTCTGTCAAGTCTGCATACAGCATTCTATTTTTGTTTCTCTGTGCAAGCATGTAATGCATAGCTAGGACTTGATGACGGTATCGAACCTGCGATGATGGATGGAAAATGAAAAGGGATTAGCACAAAATATATCCCCTTTTTATGGAGCTGTACTATTTATGCTGATTTAAGAGCTGAAGAGCTCTGGTTAATTTGGCTTTTGCTGAAAACTAGTTGAATGATGGATTTGGTGGTTGATCAACATTCTGATAACGTTTCTTGAAGCTCAGCATTATAGAAGTCTAGTTCTTCACACTAATTTAGAAGGCAAGTTCCCAAAGTTTATTATTTCTGCTGGAAATTTGTTGTTTTTTTTTTCAAATAAATGAATAGCAAATTAATTAATGAAACATGTAGACAATCCCCATCTCTTTTCCTGCAAAATCCTAGGAGCTATTTGGTGTCACTTATTCAGTGTAATCAGCAGCAGTGGCTAAGTTTGTAATGTTTCAATTACCTCATAGCCAAGATTTTCTGGAGAAACAGGTGCTTTGAATCTGTTTGCCCCTTTCATACATACATTTAAAAGACCTAAACACCTCTCTAGAAGGAAAAGAAGTGACAAAGCAGGGCTGATATCTGACAACAATTCTGAACTTGTTACTGAGATTTTATCATGTTCATGATTGGGTGTAAATAACAGAGTTAAGTAAAAATTTAACACCCCTTAACTACTTTTAGTTCTCCTTATATGCATATGTTATTTAAAAGCTGATCTAAGAACTCTTCTTGACCTTGCAAAAGCAAACATTAATTTAAAATCCAATAATTCTTAACATATCAGAATTTTACACTGGCATGCTCCATATATAGGATTTTACATTATATCTACCCTTTCTTTTTGGAGCAGAAGGGATGTTTTTCTATTTTTACATAATACTGTACAATCCTGTATGGTGCTTTCAGTTAGATTGGTATTATGTATTATATGACTGGATTCACCCTATTTTGACCTTATTAACCTAGATAGTCAGTTGTTATTCTATGGAATTTAAGCCCTGTACTATAACATCCATTTCTTTCTACTCTGAGAGCTTATGTAAAGGTGGATTACAGATGCCTTTCTCAGATTCTATATATCCCTTCTGGCCACCAAAGAGGACAGGACCTGGATAGCTCCTGAAAAATAATCATGTAAATGAATTCAATTCCAAGTAAAGGTTTGAATCCCATAGAATAACATCTAACTACCACCATTGGTGTGATATAGGATGGAACAAGTCATATAATGCTCCAAGTGTGATTGTAACTTTTTCCTCCAAGGACAACTCTACTCAGTGTTGGTAAAAAGGGAGATGTCTGGCCCTCGATCCCTGGACTGCGAAATAATTTAGGGATTGACTAACTATTTAATATCTACATAAGCTTCTGGCACCAGTTTTCTATTTGCGTGGAATGAATTATGCAGTTGTAGCTTTCTGTTCTCAGCTGACCAAGTATCGCCATGGTAGTTTACAGTGCCTGGAAGCTATAGGAGTCTGGCTTGGGAAGAACAGGCTTTGACTAAACCACAGCAAGACTGAATAGCTGGGTTTTATTTTCCATGACTGAGTCTGGAAGGGTTGCACTTCATCAGAAAAGTACAGTTGGGGAATCTTTCTGGACTAATGGTTTCTGGTTGAGATCAGGTGGCACCCCTGGTCATTAGGCTTTTGTACAAATCCATCTTGCACATCAATTGTGCCTGTTCCCATAGAAGGAAGTTTTGCTCATGATAATTTACCTCTTTGTGACTTCTTGTTTGGTCGAAAGCCATACTCACACCCCCATCTCGAAAAGCAAGACCGGAGCAAAAAGATATATATCAAGATGTAGTTGACTGTAAAATAAGCTAACCCATTTGTAAAATTGATTTCCCATCTGCACATACCAATGTTTTTCTTAAGCAAACACAAATCACTTTCACAAAGAAACATAGAGGCATGCCCATACATACAGGTAGGTTATACATGTACAACCACAATTAAGCCCTAAATCTTGATTGTTGAACAAAATGGTTAAGAGTAACACCTTCACTCAACAGCTGCAATCCTGGCATTCCTGGTTGCAGTCATCAAGTGATTAAGTGAATGGAGTCCCAGAGAAGTAGTGCAGGATGTCTGGGAAGATGAACTCTGGGAGGCTCAACTTTGGAGCCGGAAATCCTCCCTGGTGAAATCCAAGCAGGATCTTCAGCTTCTGAGTGAAAGACATTTGCACGCAGCCTCATCGTGCCTCTTAGGGTCTTCTCCATCCATCTAAGGCACCTAGTGCTGCTTACCTTATTGCCTTGCCTCTTCACCCTTTGCTTAGATTTTGGCTCCCTCTCATTAAAAGAGCTGCCTGTCAAAGGATCTCATCTCTCCTCTATACATGGAAGGGAAGTCCTTTGTCACAGTATAGGAAGTGCTAAAATCATCAGAAGCTAAGCTCTGTTCTCAATCCCAGTAAAGGAATTCAGCTCCCCTTGGCAGGCAGCTCTTTCAGCCAATCCCCAGAGATGAGAGGGAGGCCTCTCGACAGAGAAGCAGCTTTCAATCTTCCCTGCCTGCTTCCCCTTTGACTTTCTTTGGAAGCCGGCAGAGAAATTGCAAATGGCAATCACATGATTACGGGGCACTTGGCACTCAGATTGTGATCATGTGACTGCAGGGGGGAGGGGGGAGCAAAAGGCAGAGAAGCACGATTCTCCTTAACAGCATCTGAAAAAACTTGTAGTCCAGCATTTTTTTTAAAAAAATTAAACAATCTATACATCATTTAAATTTACAGAACAATTGAAAATGATTTTAAATGATTCTAAACTTCCGTTTGTTAAAAAAAGAGCTGTGATGCATAGACTGAAATAGATACTGAATAGAGCTGTTCAGCAACCATCTATTTCCAAAAGCAGAAAGGCTAAAATTAAAGCCATCTCCAAGTTAAGAAGAAGCACTTATCATAGTCATGCTTGAATGCTTCTTGGCAATCTGATAATTTTCAGTTAACAAAAGATCAGGTCATTATTCTCTTCTTCTTTTTCACATACATTCAGACATAATGGCACCATTAACCATTTTTCGTTACCATTAACAGCAAAATCTTATTGGCTTTCTACTAATAATTGAAAGAAATGCTGTTCTGCCATTAACAATTTTATTTATTTATTTTATGTATTTATTTTGTCAAGCAATTATAAGATAACAGGTATAAGTATAAACATAGTTATGAATACATGAAATGGATACACATAAGAAAAATAAAAAAATAAAAGAAAAAAATAAAAGAAATAGGACAGGGACGGTAATTAAATAGATTAAGTTGCCATGCTCACTAATATATTATTCTCACAACCGGCAGTCCTTAGACATTTCACCCCTTACGTAACTTTGTCTTTATTTATTTAACAGACACCCATATTTTATCCTAATAAATTTATACAGTGTGAAAAAGAGTACTAATTTTTATCTACCTTGAATGCCCAGAGTATTTTGGTAGACAAAGTCCAGACCCTGACTTTGGAAGGCTCCAAAGAAGAGAAATGGATATATAATCCTAAAGCAGTCACTTATGATGACTCCCACTGCAGATGTATGTCTTTCAATTCAAATAAATACATGTGTGAATAAGTCAAACAGATTTATTCAACTCAATAAATCAATAGTCTTGGTAGACAATCACTTAAATACGAGCCAGCAATGTGCTGCAGCTGCCAAAAAAAGCCAACATACTCCTAAGGCTGCATTAACAGAGGAATAGAACCAAGATCATGTGAAGTGTTAGTATCACTTTATAATGCCTTGGTAAGACCACACTTAGCATATTGCATCCAGTTTTGGTCATCTTGGTGTAAAAAAGATATTGAGACTCCAGAAAATGAGAAGAGAAGAGCAACAAAGATGATTAGGGGGACTGGAGGATAAAACATATGAAGAATGGTTGCAAGAATTGGGTAAATCTAGTTTAATAAAAAGAAGGAAGATAGATAGATGATAGATAGATAGATAGATAGATAGATAGATAGATAGATAGATAGATCATAGCATAGCATAGCATAGCATAGCATAGCATAGCAATGCTTCGCATAGCATAGAATGACAGAAGTGGAAAGGATCTTGGAGGTCTTTTAGTTTAACCCCTTATTCAGCATATAGAGAGAGAGATTGGGCAACCATTTGTCTGAAATGCTATAAAGTTTCCTACTTGTGGGTGGGACTAGAAGATCTCCAAGGCCCCTTCCAAGTCTGTTATTCTGTTAACTTCATGCATGAATAAATCAGGCAGAGAAAGTAAAACACTGGTGAGCATTAGTACTAGGTCTTGTCACAACAGATGCCTCATTAGACAAGGGAAATATTTCCTAGTATGAAGCATTGGCAAGTATCCTGAAGGGAGCATGGTGGCTTAGGAAAGTCTCTGATAAAGGTAAATGAAAAAAAGTTGCATTAATGAGAAATTAAATATCTACAAATTGAAGATATCTTTGCGTGTATAGGATATTTGGAAAGAAGTGTCTGCATTTGGATAGTGCTCACATTTACTAGACTTACACATCTGCATTAAGACAAAGTGTCTGTTTCAGAAAATGCAAATTAACACAAGTACTTTAAATTCTAATCTCAAGTTGATACATAAACTATAACATAAAAATAGAAGCTATTACAAAAGAAATTCTTGACAGAAGCCTTAATTAAAGTAACAAAGCATTTTGCTTGTTTGCTTGTGCAATCTGGAAGAATTTGTATTTACTACTTCAGAAGAATGTATTGATTGATTTTATACCCGCCCCTGCCTTAATTATCTTTATAAATGATTCAAGTGGCAAACACACACAACACTCCTTCCTCTTCTTATTCTCCCCAAATCAACAACTCAGTGAGGTGACCTGGGCCGAGGGAGAATGAAGTGAGGTGACCTGGGCTGAGAGAGAATGACTGTCACAAAACTAAGGTGCTTTGGAGGTCTAAACAACCAACACAAAATAAGCAGTTTTCCATTCCATACCTAATTAAATAAGCAATCCTATTTTGCCAATTACTTAAGCTCGCTGTTTTGAAATGCCCCCATATATGGTTAACAGAATCTTGGAGAGAAAAGACTCTTATTTTACTGAACAAATTTGGCAATGGTTTATTTCATCATGTTTTACTGAGTAAACCACAACTGACTGAGTTTCCAAAGCAAGCACACAAACCGAAACTGTACCATTCAAATCTGAGAGAAGCATGTGAAAACAATCACATGCATTTTGAGCCAGAGAAGGCTGTTTGCCAAAACAAACCAAAGGCCTATCTAAAGCAACCTCATGCAGCTTTCCACAATGATTAACCATCTACCTCCTGGAAAACCCACAAAGATATGTGGACAGATTATGGCAATCTTCCTAAACCAGTTGCTCTGCATCTTACATTGAATGTGTTGTTTGAGGCTATGAATTGGAGTTCTAAAGTAAATTAGCTTGAAACAGAAGAATGAAGCCTCTTTCAAATTTAGCCCTTGGAAGAAACAGGGGCAGGAAGATCTTTTCAGAGAGTCAATCATTCCATTTTACAGGCATTTTTTTTGAGAGAGAGAAGAGGGCTTCCAGATCTAACAAGGACTCAAGAATTGGGTGGTTACAGAAATTGAAAAAATACATCAATGAAAAGTAGATAGAAAAGTAGATAAAAAGCCCACAATAACCTTGGTCAGCTGAGATTTTTTTTCTTTCCACCATGATGAAAAGTTGACATGGAGAATTAATGGAGCCTGTGGGCCACTGCAGAATTAAAGCTTAAGCCAAGTAAGAGAGCTGGCAAACACAAACTCTTGCCTCCAGAATCATACTAGTTTCCATGCAAATTGAGGCATTAGAAACACAGCATTTGCAACTGCTCTAAGAATGGCAGCAGCACAACTGTCAGGACAGTAAATCAGCAGCAGGAGATACTCACCGGGCTGTATGTTTCATCTGCAGAATGATTAATTTCCCACCAATCTGATGTCCACTCCCAGGCATTTCCCACAATGTTGTACAAGCCATAACCATTTGGAGGAAATGCTGTTACCTGCCTCAGAAAAAAAAAAGTGGTCAACAGTGAAGGAAAATTAGATTATTTATCCTGTAAGTAACCAATGAATTTACTGAATGGGAAAGAAGAATTCATCTGTACAATATCGATTTGCAGGGTTTTTTTGTTCTTAATGATCATGATGATCTAGGTTACAATTTTCTCATTACTAGGAAAAAAAATCTTTCCTTAACATATTCCCTAAATTCTCATGTTTTACAGAAAGACCCCTTGCCCAGATCTTTAGGTACTCTGGCCACAGAAGAATATCTAGTTGTCCATTTGAGCAATTTTGATATATAATCCATTTTTTTAATGTCATTTTGATTCAGCTCTGATGCATCAACATTATTTGATGTGTCCTTCATTGTTGCAGCTCGATAGCCCTGCTGAAGGATATGTTTCCTTAGTAAGTGCCAACTCTCTTTTGCTGCCAATAATAATAATACTAAGGAAAATAGGTGGATGTGGAATGTTTATCCAACAGTTAAAGAAGAAAAAGGGGCATTGGAAGAATATCTGAAGATAGTGAAGAAGATGCAATGAAGCTAGTATAAGAGGAAGGCTTACAAATACTAGAGAACCAAACTACAAGAAAGTTCAAATGAAGAGAAGAAAAGAGACATGGCAAGGTCAAGATTTATATGCCCAATACATGGAAAAGCTAGCAGGCAAAGCAGATAACAACAAACTCAGCAATGGATAAGAGCAGGAAAGTTGAAGAAGGAGGTGTAAGATCTAATTCTGGCTGCACAAGACCAAGCTTTAAGAACAAATGCATACAAATCTAGAATTGAGAAGACAGCCACAGAGAGCAAATGGTGCCTCTGCAAAGAAGCTAAAGAAACAGTGGACCACCTAGTTACCTGCTGCAAGAAGATCACACAAATGGACAACAACTGCATCACAACGCAGCAACAGTGGTACACTGGAATATTTGCAAGAAATACCATTTGCGGTGGGACCACAAAATAAAGAAAGTGATAGAAAATGAAGGACCTAAGTGTTCTTGCACTTTAGAATTCAAACAGACAATCACCTGCCACACAATACCCCAGACTTAACCAATGCTGATAAGAAAGACAAAAGTCTGAATAGTAGATGTAGCAATACCTGTAGACAGCAAAGTAGAAGAGAAAGAACTGGAGAAAATAACAAAAAATAAAGACCTGCAAATAAATACTGTGGCAAAAGAAAGCAAAAATAGTACCAGTAATAATAAGTGCCTTGGGTAGAAAACCAAAACACCTGGAGCACCACTTGAACACCATTGGTATTGACAAAATCACCCATCATCTGCAAAAAAACTGCTTTACTTGGAACAGTTTACAACTTGCATTGATACCTATAACACCATCAAACAACAACATGTGCCTATTTCACGTCCTTGGGAAGGACTCAACTGGTAACCAAACCTAGTCAAAGCAACTGGTTGACTGAGAGCAATCACAAAAAGAATATACACTAAATGTATATGGTGCCAGACTATCAGCAACTCTGGCCAATTTACACAGTTGTTACAAACATTTTAAAATACGGAACAATATCAATAGGTTACCCTTTACTGCATGGATAGAAGTTTCCTATCCAATTCTCAAAAATACACAGTCATGCACAGGAAATCGTTTGTGAGAATTTATGTTAGGCCTGGATCAATAATGGAGGAGGCAAAGCAATCCATTTGAAACAAAACAGCACTTTGATCTTTTCTTTGGTAGGCGATAATCAGAATACATCAGTATTAAGGACCAAAACAACCATTCTCATTATATGTGCAGGTATGACAGTTCAGTTATAAATTGCTTTTCTTTCTGACCCTGACATTTGTGATTAGAGAACGGCTTGTTACAAGAGAAAAGTGCACTACAAAGCTCTCTATCCAGCAGACATAGGAGAGAAATGCCAGATGTACCTCATTAACTTTTTTTCCTACAAATTAATAGAGGTGAGGTTGCAATCAATACATAGAGTCACCAGCTCCACTCTCTCTGCCTGTTCTCTATTTTTCACCAGAAGAAAATTAAAAAGTTTCTCAACCTTCCCTCCCCTTCCCTTTATCCTTAGGCTTAATGGCAGGGGATCATTTCTTAGTGTTTCTTCTTTACCAGTTCAAAACTGGTGACTGTTGAAAATATCTTATATAGTGACAATGTAAATTACTACACTTTTGAAAATAACTCTTTCTTTATGGTTGATATTTATACTAACCATAGATAATGGAATAGCCAGAGCTGGAATAGATCACACCAGAAAGGATAAGTGATGGGAACTTTTGTAGAGACTTTGGAGGCGTACACAAGATTTGGGGGCACGCTCTGAGATCTCAGAGGATATCCCCTTCCCCAGGTAACTAGATCTGGGCTCCAAATATCCAGAAGCCTGCTAGATAACAGCAAAAGATGCTGCACACTAATTTTTTGCCTAACCTCTGGTTGATTTATTGTTTCCAGGAAAACTACAAGGATGTGTCCATAAATTTATCAAGAATCAAGCTTAATTTAAGTGGAATCTAATTTAAATGTTGTATTTGAACTAATGTCTATTACTGCTTACCTACTCTCTACTCACAGCAAGACATGTCAGAATTAATAAAAATATATCTTGTTGAACATAAGCTTTTTCTGTTTTTTAATGGGAAACTCTAATTTCTGTACCATGGAATTATGTTATTTGGGCTCTCCTTTTTACTTATAGTCACAATACTTTATGGAAGGATGTTGACTAAAGGCCATTTGCTAGGAGTCTAATGGGCTTCCTTGGTCACCATGAGAACAGATGGACAAGGACAGAGATCCAGTCCAGCAGGAATTGTTCATGTTAGAAAAACGATTGCTATTATAACAGCTGGATACAAAGTAAAATCATGAATTATTTTTCATTGACCATCACCTCTTAACTTCTTTGTATCCTTGTTAAATTATTGAGTGCACCAATGTTTTAATGGTGTACTTAGATGATTTTACACTCTAATTAATAATCTAAGCAGGCTATCTCTTGGGATGCGCATGCTTTTACAGTTCAAAACAACTTGGTTTAAAACGCTATTCCTGTGTTAACATCCTTCAGATTTTCCTGACATCTGTTTGTCTACAGATTATCCAAGCACTGTGCGAGAAGAAATATTTCTCTTATATACAGTGGGCCCATCACCATTTTGTAGGATCCTTGCACCTTTTGTTTTAAATTGCTTTAAGGTTCCTAACTTAGGGGTAGCACTATTATATGCTTCCATACAAAATTACTCTGGCCCATAGGGAGGGTAAATGATCCACATTTCCCTCCATTTTAAAAGATACTTTGTACAAAACCATCATAATTCACTTGACATTTCTTAGGCCTCATTCCCTAGAAAGGACAACTATGCCTGAAAATGGCATTCAATTTTCTCAAATGGTCAATAGTGATTGCATTGAAGTCAAAAAGAACCACAAAAAGCTTTTTTGGGGAGAGGGAGAGACAAAATTCTGCTGCAGACCCAACATAGAATGGCCATAGCTGTCACAAGCCTATTTTCCCAAATGGGATACATCTTTACTGATATACCTGATGATTTACATATACCTGGCTCAACTGAGAGAGGGATGTTGGACACCTAGTGGACAATCACTTAAACATGATCCAGCAGTGTGCTGCAGCTGCCAGAAAAACCAACAGAGTCCTAGGCTGCATTAACAGAGGGATAGAATCAAGATCATGTGAAGTGTTAGTACCACTTTAGAATGCCTTGGGTAAGACCACACTTGGAATATTACATCCAATTCTGTTCACCATGATACAAAAAAGATGTTGAAACTCTAGAAAGAATACAGAGAAGAGCAATGAAGTTGATTAAGGGACTAGAGCCTAAAACATATGAAGAACACTTGAAGGAATTGAGAAAGTCTAGTTTAATGAAAAGAAGAACTAGGAGTGACAGGATACCAGTGTTCCAATATTTGAGGTGCTGCCGCAAAGAGGTCAACCTAGTCTCCAAAGGAGCTGAAGGCAGGACAAGAAGCAATGGATGGAAACTAATCAAGAAGAAAATCAACCTAGAACTAAGGAGAAATTTGCTGACAGTTAGAACAATTAATCAGTGGAATGCCTTGCCTCCAGAAATTGTGAGCGATCCAACACTGGAGGTTTTTAAAATGAGATTGGACAACCATTGCCTGAAATGGTGTAGGGTTTCCTACTTGAGCAGGAGGTTGAACTAGAACACCTCCAAGGCCCCTTCAATTCTGTTATCATATCACTAACTTACAGGTGCGGTGCCTTTGTAGCCATCTTCCTCTGTATTGCTTCTAGGGAATTCTCCCTGCCAAATATTTGCATAGTGCTGACCATTTGGATGAAGTTTGTTTCCCCACGGGAAAAGTCTGTCAAAAGAAGCATGGACAAAAGTTAAGGAAGGCAGTTGTGCAATTGTACTGTTTAATCATATTACTATAAAAAAAATAAGACTACTATTAAAAAATCGTTAGCTAATGGCATATTAGGGGAGGGAGGGAGGGAGAGAGAGAGAGAAAGAGAGAGAAACAGAAAGAGAAAGAAAGAACGGACACCCCCCCCCCTTAAATGTAAATATTGGCAGCTTGCATTAATAATACAATGAACTCAATATCATTGCCCTGGATTAACTTAACTTCTAGGGAGAAAGTGATTGTTTAGTTTAGAGACTAGGTAAAAGATACACAGTAGTTTCTTTGCTTAATTCATTTTTCTGGAAAATTAGAAAATAATGATGAGAACCTGTTTTCAAGACCTCCCCGACAGCTATATTCCCATTCAGCTTCAGTTGGTAACCTTTTTCCTGCCCAACTGCAAAAGGCCACAGCATCATTCCAAGAAACATGAAGAACTGGATGATCCAGCCTGAGAGATAAACAGACAAAGGAAGGAAAGCAAAACAGGGTTGGTTGGCCACTTGTTAAGATTCTGCAAAAGGAAGGGGTTAGAATATGTTACCAAACCACAGAATTGTTTTACACAACAAGCGCTGGTAACAAAACCAATAAAGGCAAAACACTGATGCTTACCCTCAGTAGAGTTAGTTTCAATCTAATTAATGGATACAACTTTAAAAAACAAAAATCAGACATACCAAAAGGTAAAGCAGTTCAGCTTACAAAGGTTGTGGAAAAAGAAAATGGGAATAACAAATGAAAGGGTAGTATTAATCAGGGATAGGATTCTACCGGTTCTGTACACTTCTGTAGAACCAGCTGCTCTGAAAAGCAGCAAACAGAGAGCATACGTAGAATTGGTTCTATGTCTGCTGCTCTTTTGGCCCACCCACCTGCCCGGGCTCTTACCTGACCTTTATTTCCTGCTTTTTCAACCGCAGCTGCTTTGCGCAACACAGCTGCAGTTGAAAAAGCAGGAAAAGGGGTCTTTTCCAACTGCTGCGCACTTGCATGCAGCTCTGCTCAGCTGTCCGGGCAGCTCAGCATGTCGTAAATTGCACTTGCGCGACTCACGCATGTGTGCGTGACGCAGAGCAACAGAACTGGCAGTTATACCGGTCAAATCCCATCCCTGGTAGTAATTGTATGCTTCTGAAAGGAAAATGGAATAAATTGGCTACCAAATGTCATGTGTTAGCAGTACACATGATGTTTTTAATTGTCTGATTCAGGCCTTTGAGAAGCCTGCTTACTTCTTGCCTCCAAATGTCATGGATGCTCTAACACTGAAGTTTTTTGTTTTTTGTTTAAAGAGATTGAGCACATCTATCTGAAATGGTATAGGGTTTCCTGCTGGAGCATGGGTTTGGACTAGAAGACCTCCAAGACCTCTTTCAACTCTGTTTTTCTGTTATTCTTTTGCACAACATCACAACTAAAACTGCTTTTGAAAAATGGTGTACACATTGCAAATAAAACTAGTGTGTTGTGAGAAGCATAGCTTCTGATCACTTTTCCAAACCAGACCAGTACTGTGTTATATTTCAATATATAGCATAACATATGAACCTGTCACCCTTTCTCTAGCTAATCAAAGACATATAATCCCTTTTCAATCCATTTAATATTAGGAGGAAGGGAATACACCCCAGCAGAGAGTCCAAGTATATAGGCAGAGGATTTATTCTATATGTCTCTATGAATGTGCCAATATGGTCTTAACTTGGATGACAATGGTTTTGAACAAGAAATCATAAAAATAACTCAGAACTTTTTTTAGCATTTCATTATCTGAAAATAAAGCACACTGACATATACACGTTCATAGATGCATACTTTTGGTCAGCAGCAAATATTAAATCAAAGATGATATAAAACAAATATCAACTTCTGGTCTTTGAAAGAGAGCAACATGTTTATTTTTTTTCTCTTGTGAAATACCAGTGCTTTTATTTGAGTATAGAGAATGTACTCATACAAAGCATGGGCAAATATGGACAAATCACACGTAGTTTGCTTGTGGCAGAGCTAGTACTACCCAAATCATTAAATGAAGTGCCGTATGCTAATATCTCATAGGACAGATAGCAATTGTATTTTCATAGTCAAACCTAGCAACGTGTATTTTACAAGGACAATGTAACCTAACATTTTCTCCATTAGGAAACTCTGAGGCCCGATGGGTCATTTTCATGATTTCTCCTGTTTTATAGCATAGCAATGGCTTTTCCTTGTTGTTTTATGATGTATCTCTATTTACATTGAAACCTAGGTTTTCTACTTACAGGATACTCAAAACTGAACTACTATATGCCAATAAAAATCACTAAAATTATTCGAATGGACCTTAGCAAAAAGTCCACAAAGAGTTTCCACTCACTAAATGTTGTCTTCTCTCTAATCAAACAAGTAAACTGCCATTTCTGCAATTTTTGTCATCTTCACGAACCATTCCTCCATTGTGGGAACTTCAGAAGCTCTTCATGTTTGTGCTTATAGCAGGCTTGCTGCAAACAGTTCTTTAAAATCTTAAAGAAAGCTATCAAATCTCCACATAGCATTATCTTCTCTAGGCTAAACATATCCTACTCAACTAATTGTTCTTCATATGTTTTTCTTTCTAAACTCCTTATCATCTTAGATGCTCTTTTCTGAATGTATTCTAATTTATCACTATCCATCCTATAATGGATTGCTTAGAATCAGACACAATATACTAGGGTTCAGTCTATTGCTAATCATAGTCAATGAAGAGATTATTCTGCCTATTAAATCTTGACAGGAGTACAGGTGAGTAGGTAGATAACTACATTTTGGACAGTCTTCAGTTGTTGGGGCTGTTGCAAGGGCTTCTCTGTCTTACAATTTATTACTGTATCTCTAAATGAGACTGCAGACTATTATTAGGGTGCTGCAAGCAGTCTTTATTCGGTTCTAATTTAAGCTATTAAAAGGAAGTGATACTGAGAAAGCTTTTCATAAATTTACCTCATAATGTAATTCATTAATAAGAAATGAACATCAGGCTCACATAGGTTTTAGGGCGTGGCCTTGAAATCAGGAGGAAAAGAAAGTAAGGTAAAGATAAGGATAAAGGATATGAGTTAATGTTGAAACTGGATGAAGTAGTAGTTCTGATTATATGGCATTGGTTTCTTGGTCTAGCAGTCTATCTTGTTGAACTGACACATATATACCATTCTTACCCATCATTTAACCTTGTCTCTTTTTGTCTTAGTTCCAGTGTTTGATTCTGTTCAGTCTAAAGTGCATTTGTCCACTACCTCCAAGAGACACCCACAGTTTAATGTTTTATTTGATCCCATTTAAGCAACACATTACACAGAATATGAATACACACACGTGTATTTTTGATTATTCGGGTTTTCTCTCGCGTAAGATTGGCAGTATCTGGGCAACGTTTCGATGAAGTCTCATTCATCATCTTCAGGCTTGTGTCTTCGGCTCTGTGCTTCTCAGAGTGATGTGAGCTTGCAGCTGCTTCTTCCTTTTAACTGCTAGTGGGGGTGTGACTTGATTAGGTGGGGGCTTGGCTGTGTTCTGATTGGGTGGGGGTGTGTTCTCATTGGTAGGGGGTTTGTTCTCATTGGTAGGGGTTTTGGCTGTGTTCTGATTGGTTGGGGGGAACAAGAAAACGGCAAAGCCCTCCTCCCATATATAAAAGGCACTACAGACAAAATCAGCAAGATCCTCCAAAAACACAACATTAAAACAGCATTCTGCACAAACAGAAAAATATCCACCATCCTAAGAAACCCCAAAGACAAAATCGAATTAGAAAACCAAGGAGTATACGAAATCCCCTGCACTGCCTGCCCTACCACATACATTGGACAAACTAACAGAAGAATAAGTGCACGCATTGAAGAACATAAGAACTCAATCAAAAAAGAAGAAACGACCTCTTCCCTGGTCCAACACCTCAAAGCCACAGGACATGAAATTGACTTTAAAAATACCAGAACTATCGCCAAAACCGAACACTTCAACAGCAGAATAATCAGAGAAGCCATAGAGATAGAAAAACGCCCACACAGCATGAACAAACGAGAT